TACATTCTAAGATTAAAATCCTCAAATCTGAATTACAAATCCTAAAACAAGCCAATAGAAAGACTCTGCAATGCTACAATACCTTTTGTTTAAAATTGAGAGTCAGTCTAACACTGAGTCTGAACTAGAAGATCAAACCATTAAATCTCATTCATTACCCCATGCACTTACAAACATTGAGTATATTCTAGATAATTTCTTGAATGTGTTAACCTAAATGTCTTTAAAAAAATATTTGATTAAAATTACGCTAATTTTTTTAGAAGATTTCCAACTAGATACTATTACCCTATTTGACAAAGTTGCATATTTAAATTGTATTAAGGAGGGCATAGTTCCAAAATAATTTTTACAAAATATCTCTGAATAACTCTCTACTGCTAACAATTCAAAATTGCATATTGCAAGCAAAACTCAAGCCTCTGTTTTCAATAAAGACATTTCTCTTAAAATATTTCTTGTCGTTATAAAAGATATTAATCATACCATCATTCTTTGCACTCCTTTCATTGACATGATCACTCCATATCAAGCACATTATGATTGTATTACCTCTATAATCAATAACATCAAACTTGTTTTCCCATTCTTAGAAAAATCTAAGACTAAAAATTTGAATTTGATTAAAGCATGTTCCATACATACCCATCATATTAATACATTAATTCATGGAAAACAATTCCATCTATATGATTTACAAAACCATGTTTCCTTTTGTCGCATTAATAAACAATTACAAAACGTTGATTTACAAAAGAAAATCATTGATTTACAACGTAAGATTGAACAATAGATCTATTCAGACTTACCTAACACTTTCTGAAAAAGAAAACAACACATTATTGATCTTCCATATGAAGATACTTTTTCAAAAAAACATATACCTCCAAAAGCAAAATCTATCCAAATGAATGCTGATTTAGAATAGAATTGCAGGCTTGAAATCTGAGATCTCGAGACCAAAGGTCTTATCCAAAAGTCTTGATCACCATGGTCGTGTACACTTTTCTATGTTAATAAAAATTTTGAAATTAAAAGAGGTACACCTAGACTTGTGACCAATTACACAATTTTAAATTCTGCTTTAAAATGGATTAGATATCCAATCCCCAACAAAAAATATTTATTGCAAAAATTGTATTCTACAATCATATTTTCTAAATTTGATATGAAATTCGGATTTTGGCAAATTTAGATTGATCCTAAGGATAGAGACAAAACTATTTTCATGGTTCTTTTTGGCCAGTATGAATAGAATGTCATGCCTTTTGGCTTAAAAAATGCACCATCTGAATTTCAATGCATCATAAATGACATTTTCAATGTATATTCAAAATTCTGCATTGTTTACATTGACGATGTATTTATTTTTTAACATTCCATATATCAACATTTTAAATATATGTATGCATTCTTTCATACTGCAAAACAAAATGGTTTGGTTGTTTATAAATTTTTTTTTCTCTATTTCAAACCCGTGTCTGTTTTCGAGGTCATTATATCTGCTAAGGTACTGTAACACCGATAGAGAGATCTTTAACCTTTACAAATAAGTTCCTTGATAAAATTACTAATAAAACCCAATTGTAAAGATTTTTAGGCAGTCTTAATTATGTTTTAGACTATTACCCCAACATTAATCGTCTTACCAAACCTTTACATGATAGGTTAAAAACCAACCCCATTTCTTGGTCTAACCTCCATTCTAACCTCATCAAACAAATTAAGAAACAAGTCCAAACAATTCCACTCCTCAATTTAGCCAACTCATTAGCTCCTAAGATTGTAGAGACTGATGCCTTTGACCTAGGATATGGTGAGATTCTTAAACAAGTACAAGATAACAAAGAACAAATACTCTAGTATACATCTACCCATTGGAATGATTGTTATAAAAATTACTCCACTATTAAAAAGAAGATTCTTTCAATTGTTCTTTGTATTATAAAATTTCAAAGTGATTTATTAAATCAAAAATTCCTTTTACTTGTTGATTGTAAATCTACAAAACAAGTTTTATAACAAGATGTTCAAAATCTTGCTTCAAAACAGATTTTTACCTGATGACAAGCTATTTTAAGCATTTTTTTATTTTGACATTGTGTATATTAAAGGAGATTCAAATTCTATCCCTTATTTCCTAAACCGTAAATTCTTTCAAAACAGGTTCTGATGCCTCTTAAAGCAAAATCCAAAGACAAGAGGAAAGCTCCTCAAACCCAGCTTACAAAACTAGAGAGCCTAAAGTCTTCTACAAAACTCATGTCTTCAGCCATCCTAGCTGCCAAGCCTATCAGATCCTAGTATGAGGCAATCATTGAAAGAATCTTCTGGCATTACAATAGGTTGATACACTATCCAAATCACTAGAATTACTTCTGGCATTACAAAAGGATGTCCTAATAGGCCTCAAGTGACTCGAAATCACAAACAAGTAGTATTTCCAAACCTAATTCAAAACCTCGAGGAGGCATTTATGCTTCAAAAACCCTCCTTTCTTTACAACCTACATAAACCAATTTTCCAAAAATCAAATCCAAATATATTTTCAAAACTAATTTTCAAAATATTTTAACTATGAAAGAAGGATTTTATCATGAAAACCCTTCCATTATTGCTTCAAAAATCTTTCCTTCAAGTTGGTACCATAAACCCTGGAATTTAGCTAAACCATAATCATACTATACCGCTATCCTTAATATTACAAACTCTGTCAAGTTCAAACACTTCAAACTTTATTCAAATCACACTAAACCAACATATTCCATATACATCATTCACAAAGTTATCCATCCTAAAGATTGGGGACAACCCTTACATTAACCTCTCTCATTCCCCATAAACCTTCGTATAAGCTTCCAAGATTTCAATACCTCATATACATATTGGGATTACCAACAGACATGATTCAATGCCTTCTTCTTACAAAATCAAAACCATAGCCATTCTTGGCTTTTCTACTTTCATAGTGTCATGAATACTACAAACCTCCCCCTCTGGTTCCTCCAATAGTGGGACTATTTTGGCTGTCATGTTAACTACCTCAAAGAACATCCTCTAGTTGAAAACAATTACCTTCATTTTAAAGATAATTTTCAATTAACTCCTTTTGAAATGAAGTTTCCTTCCCTTCTTATTTTTCTATATAAAGTTTTTTGTTTCATGGGTATGTTCATGGTTCTATAATTACAATCTCCAAAACAGACATCTAGTACTTTTCATAAATTCAAAATCAAATGGTGGGATTCCTTTGTAGCCGAATGCAAAAATTCCAAATTAGTCATTACAAAATGGTTATAAAAGCATCAAACAGCTCCCATCATTGATCATCATCCTCAATCAAAATTTCTAGCCTGGAAGGCCTAAACGGCAGCTCTCCTTACCTCTATTAGAATTTTGAAAAAAGAATACCTTCATATAGTACAATACATTATACAAACACAAGACCCCAAAACAGTCTTGTCCCAATTCAACTCATCTAACTCGAAATCTCTTGCCATTTTACTTGGAGATGATAATGAAGATGATTGCTTTAGCATTCTGCCACCTATCAAGAGACATTAAAAAAAGAAGTATTTTAGGCTCATCTATTTAGAGCCCATATCTTTAGACTATACCGTTTTGAGTTTCTTTGTTTTAAGGCCCATTGTTTTAGGTCTTTTTCTATAAATATTACCTGATGCTACAAATAGACAAATCAAGTGTCAGTGTTAAGAAGACAACAAACAAAACTCTCATAAAAAAACATAGGCAATTTCCATTTTGTCGTCACCTAATCATGGCAGGCAATGACACATGGGTTCTAGAGGAATCTCTTGGCTTTTCAAAAAGCCAATTTGACCTCTTCCATGACAACTCATCTATAAAAGAAAACTCCTAAACCCTTAGAAGTCAGACTATTATTTTCCTAAGAAAATATTATTCTCCTTTGGAACCCATATCCATTCTCCTCTGTCACCCTATCTCTTGTATTGATTTCCTTACAAATTTAAGTAAGATTTCAATTTATATTATTTATATTATTGCAAAATTTATATTTCTACACATCTAAGTATGCTCTGTGTTTGATCAAAAATCCTGACATTGTTGGTCTTGCTTTGTTTATTCGCATTAGAAATTGGTTTTCATTTGTTTGCTTTTTTATTTTTAATACAAATTCAGTATATCAACTAAAAACTTATGACCTAATCTAAAAATTATTTTCATGTATAACAACACAACATACTGTATCTTTATCTCTTATTTGGTATATATAGTGTGTGTGTTTTTATTTATTATATATTCTTTAAAAAAAGTTAGAGCAAATTATATTTAAATAAAATTATCAAGATGATGTTTAAAAAAAATATTTTAAATAATAAAAAATTAAATAAAACTATATTTCAAATATGACACCCGGTGAAAAAAAAAAAACTAGTTTTGTGCTGAAAATTATAAGAAGATTAGAATATAATAAAATGGAAAATGCAGGGATACAAACTATACAGTGAAATCAGATTGGGTCGGGCACATGGGTTAAGCAATCCATCAACCCATCACTTTGAAGCCCATTGTTTAGATGTCAAATTGGGAAAAAGGGAAAACCTCAGTCAAGGCTAAATTATCAATTACATCCCAAGCTTATGAATGGTATCAATTAAGTCCTACACATTTCCTATATTTCTCAATCGTGTCCTTTTTTAGTTTGTTTAATAACTTAAATTTAATTTGCATAATATGTGTGCTAAAATGATGTCAATCTAAATCATTTTGACGAAAAAATAATTAAAGTTAATATTTTCAATCTGATATGCATATTTATGTACTCAGACAACGTTAGTTTGAAGAAAATTACACAAAAATGTTGACATATATTAACAAAAAGACTTGATTGAAAATATTTTGAAACGTTTAGGACTTAATTGATAAATGTGAGAGTTTGTGGGAATCAATTGATAATTAGAATATAAATATGGGACTAAATTAAGGTTTCCCCAAAACAATTATCATATAGCAACGCAGAAACTCTCGCTTCATAACATAAACGGTTTTTCAGTTCCAGAGCTCCTCCGTCTCCCTCATTTCCACCGGCGCTGCCTCTCAACTTTCTCTCTAGCCCATATGATTTATATGAGCTATAATCACAGTCGTTAATTCCGGCGACTTTTGTTACAATGACTTCAATCACGTCCGTCGAATTGAATTACCTCGTTTTCCGTTACCTTCAAGAATCAGGTTCGGTTTACCTTTTTACGTTTTCATGCAATTTAGGGTTTATATTTTTGCTTTTATTCTTATTTTTTTGTGAAATAACGAAGGTTAGGGTTTTGCTTTTAGAGTTTGGTTTTAAATGTAATTATTTAGAATTTTTAAGTCATGCTATGTTCAGAATCTGTAATTTCGGGGTTTTGTTCTGTATTTTCCACTAAAAAGGAGCCTGAGCTTGTAGATCTGTGAACTTGGTTCTTCTAGTCTTGTTTAATTTTATTTAAATATTTTTGTACTTTGTTAAGAACATGAAAAGCTTGTATACTGATTGGTTGCCTGAATTTACAATATGAAATTTAAATGAAGTATGGAGATGCAATTTGAAACTTATGAAAAAGATTGGGCCGCCTTGATTGACATTTTTAATTGTAAGGGATTTGATTTAAATGCAATCGAAAGCCTCCATTAGGCCATACTTCTGGAAGAAATCTTTTAAATTTTTTTGAGTTTTCAGCGGAAGAAAAACAAAATATTAAATGTGTTCTGGTAGTTATTGTTTTTAGCAGTGACATTGGGTAATGATAGAAGGCAACGGGTCATGAGATACCACTGTGAATTTAAAGATTAGTTTTTGAGATTTTTTTATGTTCCTGCAGGTTTTACGCATTCAGCTTTTGTGTTAGGATATGAGGCAGGAATTAACAAATGCACCATAGATGGCAATATGGTTCCACCTGGTGCTCTCATTACTTTTGTACAAAAGGGGCTTCAGTACTTGGAAATGGAAGCGAATTTGAGTAATGTTAGCATGTTTAAATCTTTTGTTCTCTGATTTTTTGGTTTTTAAATTAGTGTTTGTTTAACATTTTTTGCTTTACATGCTTTGGGATTTATATTGATCAAGGTTTGTTTCAAGCTTGCCAGAGTGATGCAGATGTAGATGAAGATTTCTCATTTTTGCAACCTTTGGATCTTATCACAAAAGATGTGAATCAATTGCGGCAGATAATACAAGAGAAGAAAAAAAATTTGCGCAAGGATGGAGAGAAGGAGAAAGACAGAGACAAAGATAAAGATAAAGACAAAGACAAAGACAAAGAGTTCGAAAGGGAACATGAAAGAGAACGTGCACGAGTGAGAGAGAAGGAAAGACATGAAAGGGAAAAGGAGAATGAAAAGGATAGAGAGAGGTTAGAAAGGGAAAAAGAGCGAGACAAGCAGCATGAGGATAACACTGATAGCAGAATGATTACTGATACAGAAAATAAGCATGAAGAAAATGGAATTTCTGAAGGCAATTTCACTCCTATGCTTTTTTTTTTTATTTTATTTTTATGTCCCTTTGCTGTTTTTAGTTTTTGAATTTTTATCTTAACATCTTATTTGAGGTTTTCAAGGCACCTTATTCTCACCTCATGCCTCCAAGGTGAGTGCATTGGCATCTTGTGACAACACTGCCATGGTTAAATTTTAAGACCTTTCTTGTATATACTACTGTTCTTTGTTCTTTTCCTAGTTTTTTTAAGCTTAAGCTCTAATATAGATTATCTTCACTTACAATTTTACTTCACTGCTTTACCATAGTCTAGGGTTCTATGCTGTCACAATGTCGGGATGGTGAGGCTACTGTTAAAAGTCATTTTGTTTTCCTTTTTCCCTTGGAATGTGGTGAAATGTTAGTTATATAGTGGAAATGGATAAGTGATTATTAATTTTCAGTTTTCTGTTATTTTCTTGAATAATTAGTGAACATATTGCATTCTTACTCCCTTTCTCTGCCTCGTTTTCTCACCTTCATGTTATATATTTCCTAAAATGTGAAAATCTATTATTTAGTAGGACCAGAGCCAATGGATATTTCTACAGCATCAACATCTCAGACATGTGAAATTCCTAGTTCTGATGTGATGATTTTGGAAGGACATACTTCTGAGGTTGGAACATTTGCCATCCTTTTTGCTTTTTATATTAATATCTTGTTTTTTGTTTTCTCCATTTGCCATGTGCTTCTTTTCAGGTTTGTGCTTGTGCATGGAGTCCAACAGGATCACTTCTTGCATCAGGGTCAGTAATTTTTGGCTGAGACACTTCTTTTGTTGATAATTCTGTGTTTGCAACTCTGATTTATATGCCAAAACTTATTGTATCTTGATTCTTAGTTTTCTGTTATTTGGTAAAAGTTGCTCATTATGTTAACTTTATTAGCAAAAGAACATTATTTAAACATAACAGGCTATGCAAGGTTATTATTCTTCTGTAAATATAAAGTATGTCAGGCTGAATGTTTTATTGGTAATTGGTTATATAATCCTCAAATAGGTAAAACTAATTTCACCAAGGAAATGAAGTAAGTTTAAATAATCTTTTAGATTTGATACAATGTGTTACATTATTTTTAAGTGAAGGATACACATGCTGGACAATTTGGAAAAAATAAGAGCAAATCATTTAAGTTTCTTGTCTTAAAAGAAGTGTATCATATCCACTGTAGAGATTTTCTTTGCCCTCAGTTCGCTTGTGAGTATATGTGCTGCTTTATCTAGTGTCTTTATGAGTTTTGCTGTTTCAATTGGTATTTGATTTCACTATGACATTCTATTTCAATATGGGAGGATATGATGGTATATAGATTGCCCATTCGATTTTTCTACTTTGATAGTGTCAAAACTAATGGCCCTCAGTGGTAACGGGGTTTACTGGACATTATGCAAGCATCTGTAATGCAACCTTTCTTAAAGTTGCAGATTACTTGTAATATTGGACGGCATCTATAATAGCCTAAGAAAATTGTTGGTTCTCCTTTCCTTACCCTTCACCTCACACCACTCTTTTTATCATAATTTCTAGTTCTGGAGATTCCACAGCGCGAATTTGGACAATAGCTGAGGGGACCTCTAGGTCAGTTGCTCAGAATGGTCCTTTAAATGTGCTAGTATTGAAGCATGTAAAGGGAAGGACAAATGAGAAAAGCAAAGATGTGACAACACTTGATTGGAATGTGAGTTCTCTTAAAGGCTTTGATTGTCAAGAATAGTAATTTTAATGTTTCTTCATATTGTTGCCTTATGAATTCACTCTTCATAAAGATTTTCATGTCATAAGAATATACCTCTTGAGGTATTCCTCTTTTTTTCTTTCCCCCTCTTAGCATAATGGAGGCTTTACAAGAAAAAAAATGACCTGCACATGACCACATGGTTCATGTTAAACAAAATGTCCCAAGGAAATAAATAGCGTGAGTTGACAAGAATTATGTTGGCTATGTTGAGAATTAGGCTAGCTATGTTGATTCCGATGGGCTTATGACTGTGTATCATATTATGTAATTTCAATGGAGAAGGAAAAAAGGAAGCTTAACATTGCAAGTCATTTACTCAACTTCAAATGAGCTCAAACTGAAGCTGATAGGCAGGGTGTGATGAAAATTGTTTCCTTTGTTGCAGGATCAAGAAAATTTTACATGTCAAATTAATCTATTTTCCTCACAAGTACTCATCACTAGTTTGCCTCCTATTGTACAGGGCGAGGGAACATTACTTGCAACTGGCTCTTATGATGGGCAGGCAAGAATTTGGAGTACAGACGGTAAGATATTTCAAATGATCTGTTTCATTCCCTTCTATTTCAGGCTGAAAGTGAGCAGCAAGTCATATATGTAAAAAATAAACAATAAAGGGAGCTCAGATATCTTTTCTTGTGTTCATTTCTCACTCTTAAGGGTAGGGTATGCTAACACAAGTGTGCCACTATCAACTTGTCACTTAGACAAACCAATACAGCAGTGTTTTTTATAAAATTAGGTGTACACACATGTGCATATGTTATTATTCTGTTAAAATTAGGTGTACACACATGTGCATATGCTATTATTCTGTTGATTGAAATCGTGCTTTTACTTCAGATTTTCTGTGCAATTTGGAACTCTGGCTTATCTTCTGGATCTTTTCCCTTGTCCAGGTGAACTAAAGACTACATTAAGTAAGCATAAAGGACCCATATTTACTTTGAAGTGGAACAAGAAGGGGGATTATCTGCTAACTGGAAGCTGTGATAAAACAGCAATTGTGTGGGATGTGAGGGCTGAGGAATGGAAACAGCAGTTTGAGTTTCATTCAGGTTTTAAATTGCTCTTAGATTGCTAGAATCAGTAGTCTTTTGTCAGAAAAAAGAAATCACTGATTATTGTTACATTTGCTTTCATATTGGTATTTGTTTTAGGTCCTACACTTGATGTTGACTGGCGCAATAATGTTTCATTTGCAACAAGCTCCACTGACAATATGATATATGTATGCAAAGTTGGAGAGACGCGCCCTATTAAAACTTTTGCTGGACATCAGGTTTGTACTATCTTTCTACAATTGCATATTGTTCATGCTGTTCCACTCAAACATGCCCAAAGTAATATAGTCAGAGACTTTTTATATCTCAAGTAAGCTGGGAGATTGTTTTTTTTAAAACAATTGGGTCAGATTCTAGAGGGGCTGAGAATCCACAACCGAACCTTGTGTGTGTATGATATTATGAATGGGGCAATGCGAGACCAAGTCTGATTAATTTAGTAGGAAGCCACCAATCTGTTAAAATAAATAAATATGGAATAATTTCATACTTCAAATCAAGGATTGACTAGCATTGTTATTTAATTAACCTGGATGCCTAATCCGATGAACCACCAGGTTGCACTGTTGTGGTTCTCTGGGCTACATAGAAAACTTGATGATGCTATTTATGGACTGGGTTATAACTGCAGTATTCAACTTAAAGCTTTGCAGTCAAATGAATTTTTCTTGAGCAACAATCAAAGCTTTTCATGCTGCTTATATTTGTCACTTTTTGCAATTTCAGGGCGAGGTTAATTGTGTCAAGTGGGATCCTACAGGTTCATGGTTGGCATCTTGCTCTGATGATATCAGTGCTAAGGTTATTATCTGTGCCTTTTTTTATGTCATCTATTCACTGATTTACATTTTAGTTTTCAGGTGTTATATTTGTTCATTTATGACTCATGAATGCCCTACACTAATCTCTGAGCTTTTATTTTAAACATAATCCCTTGATTTATCATTGCTTATGAGCCCTTTTAAGTCCTATTTCATTTCTTGTTAGCTTGCTATTTTCGTGGTTGGCAACTGATGAAATTGTACTGCAGATATGGAGCATGAAGCAGGAGAAGTATGTTCATGATCTAAGGGAACATTCTAAGGTACCGCCGACCTTTTATTTTTGCAGATGAAGATTTGTTGGGGTTGATGCATTCTCTTTATATATCACATTGGATTGCTATCATGAATCTTTATTACTCGTGTTGCAGGAGATTTATACTATCAGATGGAGCCCTACGGGACCTGGTACAAACAATCCCAACCAGCCATTAGTGCTGGCTAGGTAAACTACTGCTTTGAACTTAAATGTTATTGGTGTCTGTGCAGTACAAATTAAGTAGTTCTGGTTACTGTCTGACATCTGTCTTGCTAATTTTCAAGAAATCGTCAGTCTTAATCCCAGTTTTGTATAGGATCATGAAACATCAAGTTCTTGTATCACATTGTATGATTCAGGTCAACTTTGATGAATTGTTTTATGTTTTCTTTCTGATATTATGCGGTTCTGCTTTCTTTATAGTGCATCATTTGACTCGACAGTGAAGTTATGGGACGTGGAATTTGGGAAACTTCTCTGCAGTTTGAATGGACACAGGTATACACTTAACCTTTTCTCTCTCCATATTGAAGGATCAGGAGAAAAAAAATTAGTTTCATTATCAGCTTCTAGGTATTTGAATGCTTGAAGATTAAATGAGCCAATATTTGAAGTTATCTTAATTCATTGCTCTGAAATCTGACTTCCTGTGATATCAACCTGTTATTTTCTTTTGAAAATTCTTGACTTCTGCTCCAATTTTTCTCCTGACCTCTTTTCTTTTTTATTAACATCAAATACTAAACTGATCCTTGTTGAGTTTGGCTTGATCAGTGCCAGATGGATCTGCAATCCTCTCTTGCTTTAGTCCCTGGAATTTCAGGACTGCTCTAGTTAAAGAGGAATGCATTTTCGTTCTGTTATCCCGTCATTGAACAGATAATTGAATTTATGATTAATCAAATTGTTACTGCCCTATTTGTAGCTATTATTGATGAATGTCTTTTAATTGAATTTCCAGGGAGCCTGTGTATTCGGTTGCATTTAGTCCTAATGGAGAATACCTGGCAAGTGGATCTCTTGATAGATGCATCAACATTTGGTCATTGAGGGAAGGAAAGATTGTGAAAACATATGCTGGCAACGGGGGAATATTTGAAGTTTGTTGGAACAAGGAAGGTGATAAAATTGCTGCCTGTTTTGCCAACAATACAGTTTGTGTTTTAGATTTCAGAATGTGAAAACTAGTGAGGTGCTAGGATCGGCTGGGATTTCTAGGAGCTTGTGGTAGCATTCTATTTAGCTGGTCTTCAGTTTCCCGTGGAAGTGAGCTTTCCTTCTATGGGGATGTGAAAAGTTCTTCCATTTGGTAGGTTTTTCATTTTATTGTTTTGGTAGTTATAGGTGTTACTAATTTGGAATTCAAAGATTGCTGCAAGTCGTAAGTGAATCTCCCCAGCCAATTGTTAGCTAGTCATCTGCTCTGTAGGACGTGGTTCGGGAACAAATATGTACAGAATTGTTTGCACTGGATCCTTTTTAGCTTCGTTTACATTACTATTTCATATGAAGCATCCATCTTTCTGAAATTTCAGTTGTCCACTTTTTTATATCCTGCCCAGAACTGAAGAACATTTGGTGTGCGCACCAGCACCCTCACATTCACTAATGGAATAATTGTCGTTTCTTTCTATAAACATAAAAGAAATTGGCACTTGTATAGTAGGCATGCTGTATATCGAAGACTTGCAGTGCTGCTACCAAGACTGGTATGTATTCCCGTTCGCCAACGAGAACCGCATCTGATCTCAATATGAAGGGCATTTGTGGAAATATTCAGGTACATTAAAACAGTGAGCTGATGATGGCCTGGAAAACATTTCTTAGAAATAACTGCTTATGCGGCAATACAGGATCACAAATTTATTCACGATCCCAGGCCAGATGTACAATTTACCAATAGTCTCCACAAGAACACAAGCCATCTACAAAGTGGTGGAAACGGTTTCGATCCCTCATTACAATCTTGCGTCCGGTGATCTTTGAAATCAACTTTGTCACAGCATGACAATCCGCGCAGACCCTTAGATTCTTTACGATCTTTATTGCAGTGCCTGGCTTGGTTATTATAAGCCCAAAAGCAAGGGCAAGTTTCTCACTGTGAACCCCAAGTGACTGCTCCTTTTGCGCATCCTCCAGGTCATGTAATACAATATCTGTCTGTGGGGTATAACCATGAGTTTTAAGCCAGCCATTTATCTCCTCCAACATTTCATAGATCTCTTTGCTCCTCGGATGTCTCAAATCTCCAGCCAAAAACTCATGCACCTTGTTATTCACTTCAATCGAGCTACAACCAGGCTCCTTCTCAAACCCACTCTCTTTCATCAAGGTCCTCACCCTCGCCACACCTTCCCAATTGCCAGCTGCTGCATAAATGTTAGAAAGAAGAACATAAGTCCCCGAATTTGCAAGATTCTGGCTAACAAGATACTCCGCTATTTGCTCTCCCAGGGCAATGTTGCCATGGAGCCTGCAAGCCCCAAGCAGAGTTCCCCACAATACGGGATCCTGCTCAATCTCCATGTTCTTAACAAGTTCATATGCTTCTTCTAAATACCCAGCACGGCCAAGAAGATTTACCATACACCCATAATGCTCAACCTTGGGTTCAATCCCATGCTCATCTTTCATTGAATAGAAAAATTTCCATCCTTCACTGACCAAACCAGCATGACCACAAGCATTTAAAACACCAATAAACGTTATATCTGTAGGCTGGTATCCGATCATACACATCTCTTTAAACAACCGCAGAGCATCTTGGCTAAATCCGTGCATTGCATAACCAACAACCATCGAATTCCAAGCAACAACATCCTTGTTACTGATCCTCTCAAAAACCAACCGCGCATCCTCCAAACTACCACATTTACTATACATATCAATCAAAGACGTACCTACTCGAACATTAATCCCAATCCCATTATTCTCAATATATGAATGAACCCACCTTCCTGTCTCCAAAGCCCCAGTTTGCCCACAAGCAGAAAGAACAGCCAACACAGTAACTTCGTTCGGTCTCACTTTGGCATTCAACATTTTTCTAAACAACAACAATCCTTCATTAGGCAATCCATGTTGCGCGTACCCATCAATCATAACGTTCCAACAAATGGCATCCCTCTCTTCCAGCCCATCAAACAACACTCTTGCCTCATCAATCATCCCATACTTGGCATAACAAGTAATCATCGCTGTCAACGAAACTAAACTCTTCTCAGGCATTGCATCAAACAGCGTACGCGCAGAAACAACATCGCCTCCTCTTGCATATACGTCAACAAGACAAGTCCTCACATACAATTCTGCATCAAACCCAAATTTTATTGCTTGCCCATGTAGCAATTTTGCAGGTTCAATCGGGCATGACTTCAATATCGATGAGAAGGTAAACGCATTAGGGAATACATTTTGACTCAACATTTGGACATAGAAAAGAAGTGCTAGGTGATGTAGATTGTGAATAGTGTGGGCATGAATAATAGAAGTATAAAAAAAGACATTGGGGTTTTGGGTTTTGTTAAACAGTGCAAGAGAGCGGTTTAAGTGACCCAGAGAGGAGTAAGAACGTTGAAGCTTGAAGTTGAGGATTGGGTGGTCATGGAGATTGTGGCGGTAGAGAAAGGCGTGGATTTGGTTGAGATGGTTTAAGGATTTGGATTTGTCGATTAAAATTGCGATTTTTTCTGGTGGAGGGTTGTGCAGAATGGTGGAGGAGCGGGTTATGTTGGCGTGTGGTGGTGGTGGTGGAGTAGTGAAGATAGTGGTAGAGGACATGGAATTGTCCGTTTTCTTGGAGTCACGGTGGCTTAACAAGCTTATTCAGGATGTTCGCGAAATTATTAATCAGCAGCGGAATGGCTGAACTGAATTGTTGTTCTTTTTGAGATTAACATATCCGTTCGTTCAAGTTGAACCATACTCTAACATTGGTCACTCATTTTTTCATAGTCCTTGTAGTTTATTAAGAATAATTAACTAGTCCCTATAGTATTAAAATAGTAATTAATCAATACATTAACAACTGATTTCCTTCTTTTAATGTTTATATTTTCCATCAAACTATGTTTCTTTTCTTTTCTCTATTTCATTATAAAAGAAAAGAAAAGAAAATTCTTTTATTTAATATTTTAGGTTTTTAACAAATATATGACATTTTTAAAATACTTTATGAAACATCGATTTTCATCCATGAAAATAACTCTAAATAATAATTAAATTTAATAAATAGTTAATTAAATTATAATTATGACTAAATTTGGTTTCATGCACTATAATAGTCTTATATCCTGGTAGTAAAAGCATTCAAATATTTGTCATTTTAATAATTTAATTCATTCTATTCATATATTTTTTCATTGTTGTTATAATCAATATAATTATCTATATAATCTCCTTTATGGTTTATCATATATTCTTTTTTCTTTTCAACTTGCCATCAATGTTCTAATATTTATTATCAATTGAATTTAAATTAAAAAAATCTATATCCTAAATATGAAAATTCTAGTTTGGTGGGTTTCTTTTCTTTTAAAAAAATCTTATGCCTAGCAAACCTATCTGGTCTTTTGGCCAATGCAAGCCTAGACAAATGCATGTAAAAGAGGTGTTTCAAAAAGCAAAATCTCATTCTCAAACAAAGCTGAAAGCCGGAAGCATCTAAGAAAGGAGGAGGTGAATTAACTAATCTCAAATGATTTGGTTTGTTCTAAATAACCACAAACAACACAATAACACCCATAAGCACGACCTAAACTATTTTAGAATACAAACACGACAATGGCTTATTGATGCACATAATTTACAACTCAATAAGTTATTAATGGTTAAAAAAAATTTATAAATATAAAAAAGCATAAAAATAAATTTTATACTAGTTCAATAGTAATAGCCTACTCCATTTCTTAAGTGATAAGCTTAAACTTATACTGTTATTTACATTCTATTTTCATCAGATAAACCATATCTTTCAATATATCATTTTATAGGATCAAGATTCAAACCTTTATAACTAACACACACACACACACATATATATATATATATATATATTTTAATTATGGACTTAAAATCAAGACCACTAATGTATTTTCACATGAAAAGATTGAAACTAACTAACCTTTTTTCATTGATATAAACTAAAAACCTATATTAGTTCTCATAAAAGCTTACAACTAAAATTCAAGTAGTTATAATTCCATTTATATTTTAACAATAAATTTCATTTTAAAAGAGTGAAAATAATGTACCATTACAAAAAATATAATAAAATAAAATCTCTTGTTCTTAATAGTTGTAATCTAATTTTTTTTAAGTGAGGTTTAGGTGTAATTAATGCGTATGAAAAATAATGAAAAGTAAGTTCAAAGTAAAAAGGAGATGATTATGTAAGAATATAAATTTTTTAGCTCAATGATTGCATCAAACTTATAAAATATATAAAAAGAGGTTTATTTATATAAAAAATGTTTAGTAGCCATTTAGAGTAGTGACATAGAATAGACCAAAAAATTTGAATTTTGAAAGTTTAATATACCATATGGTTCAAGCAAGACAATGTAAAAAATATATCATCCATGAGGTAAGGGTGGCAACATGGAGTGGGAGATTTGAAATGCTTGTCTTGTTTGTCCTAGTTGAAAATAAAAGAAAATGTAATTTCAAATTTAAATATTGGTATAAATATAAAGATATTCAAGTTTTGGAGTTTGAACAAGCTAGGTATAACTTAGATATATTTAATCACAAGAGATAATAAATATTTTAAACTCATTCCATTTATGTTAGGAAAGTTACTTAGTATCCAGAGGATTCAAGAAAAGTTTATGTAGTAAAGTTGAATAATTTACTTCTCACACCCAGTGACTTTTTTTATGCAACTTTACTTTTTTTTTATTAATTATGTACATGTAAAATGAAGTGATTTTTTTACTCTCCCCTATACAATGTCCTTCCTAATCAACACACAAAAACACAAATTGCAGATTTCTCATGTATATTAACCCTTTAAAGGATTTTATATTTAAAATAAGTATTTTTTTAATCTAATAAAATTTCAATAAAGTTTATCATGTATGGGTGCCCCATCTAAAATTTTATCTTGTAAATATTACAACAACTCAACACATTTACTCATGCACCAATCCAATACTCACAGGTAGCCTCAATAATTGGTCCAACCTTGTATATCCCTTTTGATTTTCAAGAAAACATCTTCAATTAGTACTCACATCACTTCAACTAATTGTTCATACTTATTCAAATACATCATTATTCATTTCCTTCTATTAATCTATATTTCAAATATAATTTCATATTTTTCTATATTTTCAACTTACATTTAGCATATAATTCCACATTCTTTACTATCATTATATATATATATATATAGGTTTTACAACAATGTTGTGAAATTTAAAAATTAATTGCAAGATTGTGATTTAAATAGTTATATATGTTGTGTCTTGGTTGGCAAGTTAGTAAAATGGGAAAAATGAAAAATAATATCATTAAGTGCAAAATGATA